AGCCGCCTGTGCCTGTGTGATCCTGCCGCTGGGGGACACCTGGCTCCACTTCTGAGGATGCTCCTGCATCTGTGCCTCCTGCCGTGTGTGGCTGGTTGCTCTGTTTCCTGTGCCTGCGTGGTGGTCATTTCACAGGACAGGAGCTGGTGCACAGGGTGGATGGCGCCTGTGGGGGTCAGCCCTGTCCCCACTGTGGCTCTCACACCACGTGAGTGTGACTGTGCTTGTTCTCAGTCCAGGACCTGAGCTGCTTTCTCCACAGTTACCTTGGGCCTCCCTGTCTCCCTTGCCTGCGGAATTACATACCTACATTTCTCTCTCTTTTTTCTTTCTTTCCTCTTGTGATTTGTGTGATTCTGGGAACATTCAGAGATGTTTGGATGCAGTAGTTTGTCTTTTTAAAATTTGTCCTTAACCAGGTGCCACATGTCACCCCCGTTGAGGTGGCAGTTCCCCTGGGTGTAGCTCTCTTCGGAAACGGCCTCACGGCACTCAGAACCCGAATACACTGCTTGGCGGGGGCACCCCACCCTGTGATTGCCCAGAGAGTGGCCACCATCCCCTTCAGCTGTGCGTTCCCGGGCCCTGGGGCTGGAGGTCCCAGCAGAACAAGGCCCAGGGCCAGAGGCCGGGTGCCCAGGCAGGAGTGAAAAGGTCTCCCTGAAAATCTAAAGAAAATGAAGCTCATGAAGTAATGTGATGTTTTCGCCTTTGTCTAAGTGAGTTCGAGTTCATCTGAGGACAGAAGGCATCAAGGGCCTGTATGACTTTCCAGTGGCTGCTGTGAAAAAGTGCCATACCCTCCATGGCTCAAAGCAACAGAAATGTGTGCTCTCACAGCTCTGAGGCCACAGCTCCACAATCTGCTCTGCTGGCAAAGCCCAGGTATGATAGGGCTGAGTTTCTCCCAGGAAACGCCCGGGTAGAGCGGGGCCAAGCTCCTTCCTCGGGAGACTCTGGGTGATGGGGCCTCCCTGCCTCTTGTGGGTTTTGGGGCTCCTAGCTGTCCTTGGCTTGTGGCCACATTACTCCATTCTCTGCCCCCTTGTCACATGGCCTCTGTCTCAGTCTCAAGTCTCCCTCTCCTCTGCTCCTACAGGGATGCTCGCCATTGGAGTTAGGGCCAGTCTGGGTAATGAAGGATGATCTCATTCCTCAATACTGTGTCTAGTCACATCTGCAAAGACCCTTGTTTCCAGTAAAGCCACAGACACAGTTTCCAGGGATTAGGCTGAGAGCATCTTTTTGGAGGTCACATTCGGCCCTGGTTTGTAGCATTTCCAAAGGCCAAGGGTCTGTTTTTTGTGAGCAGCTTTGCTGGTAAAAGCAGGTGTGGCACTTTTGTTCCATGACACAACCTGGCTCATAATCCATGTGTATTTTTCTTTTGTCTTTTGTGTATTGTGTATTTGTACTTACATATTTTGTGTTGTTAAACTTAAAAGGTCTAAAAGGGGCCGGTTGCGGTAGCTAATGCCTGTAATCACAGCACTTTGGGAAGCCGAGGTATGGGCTGATCATGAGGTCAAGAGATGGAGACCATCCTGGCCAACATGGTGAAACCCCATCTCTACTAAGAATACAAAAAAATTAGCTGGGTGTGGTGGTGTATGCCTATAATCCCAGTTACTTGGGAGGCTGAGGCAGGAATAAGGTTCTATCGCTTGAACCTGGGACGTGAAGGTTGCAGTGAGCAGAGATTGTGCCACTGCACTCCAGCCTGGGCGGCAGAGTGACTCCATCTCAAAAAAAAAAAAAAGTCTAAATGGGAGCAATTCAGTGTATTTGGGACTTTGTTTTTCTTTTCAGTTTGTGTGAGTTCAGATCCAAGTTGGGCAGGAAAAGAAGTGATGAAGTGGCAGATGTCATCTCAGGCACTGGAATCCGTGGGCAGCGGGGGCGTTAGACTCACTCTCACTCTGCTTGTGTGCTTGGCCTTCTCCACAGAGCCAGGCATTTTTGGGTGCTTCCTTTCTACTGGTCCCTCTCTGGACTGGCAGTAAGCAAGTGTGGGCAAATACATGGTGACTGGGTTCCCACCAGGCCCCCGTTGTCCTGCTGAGGTCTCAGAAGGAGTGATTAATAACTCACTACACACATTCGTTGTCGTTAAAGCTGTTAAACAGAAAAGTGAGGAAAAACAGATGTTCATGTAACTGACCGATACTTTGCACAGAGGAGATCATGTATTGACGGAGAACCGAAAAGGACTGTGAAATTGGAAAATTAGATACGGAATCACTTATTAGAAGTTGTACAAATAGCATGAAAGTGTGGATACATATTTTATTTTGTTTTTGATCCTGTAATAATAAATTTCTGTATTTTATGATCATAACTGTTTACAAAAGTAGTCTAGACGTTGTTGAATCCTTACAGTGACAAGTTTTTCTAATACATTTATAGTAATTTGGCTTTTGTTGTTGTTGAGATGGAGTCTCACTCTGTCACCCATCCTGGAGTGCACTGGTGTGATCTTGGCTCCCTGAGCCTCCACCTTCCAGGTTGAAGTGATTCTCTGCCTCAGCCTCTTGAGTAGCCGGGATTACAGGTGCCTGCCACCATGCCCAGCTGATTTTTGTATTTTCAGTAGAGATGGAGTTTCACCATGTCGGCTAGGCTGGTCTTGAACTCCTGACCTCAGGTGATCCACTCGCCTTGGCCTATCAAAGTGCTGGGATTACAGGCGTGAGCCACCGTGCCTGGCTGTAATTTGATTGTTAAAAAGCAGTGGAGTTATAATCACCATGTCATTTGTATGCTATAGTTGCTCAGCACTGTTTTATAATCTGTCGTCAGCTAACTGGATGGGGAACAGGCAGACATTGTTTTTGTATTTGGCAAATGTTGAAAAGTGTGGCTTAGAGTCACGTGCTTCCATGTCTTACTTTTTTGATTCTTTCTGTGTCCTTCCATGGTGTGGGATTTTCTAACTGCATTGCCAGGAGCCAGCCAAATCCCTGCTCACCCAGTGACAGGGACGTGAATGTGGCCGTATCCTGGCCCATGATCCAGAATTTTAGCTCCAGCAAAGGGCTCTGCAGGAGTGGATGGTTTGAGGTCCGATTATGATGGGAAAAGAGATTAATGCAAAACAAGATGCTGATTCTCAATTTGTAGGATATAGTAGGACGGGATATCATCTGGCAGAAACAGTCTGGAAGAGACTGACTTGGAAGAATCAAGAACTGTTTTTGTTTTTGTTTTTTTTTCCTGTATTCAGATCTGCTCATGTATGAACTTGGCTGTGGTTTAGCCTAGTATAGACCAGGGGGCCGTCTGTGTCCGGATTCCAGAGGCCTTGTGTGCACACATACATGCCAGATCTGTGTGGGACCTGAGTGGAGTCTGGGCAGTGACATTGGTGTGGCTGTTCCCACTGGCATGTCCAGCCACATAAGCAAAGTTCGTTAGGACTCCTGGCCACCACCGCTGGAGTCTTGCGTCCTCCTTGGCTCCCAGGCCAGCACAAGTTCACGGATCCCCTGGGCATCTCTTCTGGCGGATGCTGCGCTCTACCCTTCCCAGGCACAGGGTGGGCTTCCATTCGTCACCAAGAGTGGGACTTGTCCTCCTTCCAGGCCACCCCCTCACTGTGACCATGGCTGTGTGTATGATGCTGCCTGGGTTCATGCCCTCAGGCAGCAGTGTTAAGAGAGATACCCTTGGCTGCCTTAGCCAAGCCCGGGACTGGGATCAGTGGGCAGCCACCCCATCTTACTTTCATTGCCCCCAAAGGCTGCAGGCGTCTCTGTTAGCCAGGGTTGGGAGGAAGCCGCAGGAAGTGGAGCACTGTGTTCATGGCTCAGTCACCACCTCCTGCTTGGGGGTTGTTTCTCCTGTGCATGGGATACTGAGGCTGCAAGTCCCGGATGGAAGCAGGCTGCTGGCCCTCCTTATTCTGGGCTGTTCCAGTGGCTGTAGTCTGGTCAGTGCAGCTGTGCTCTTGGGAGTGGAAAGACTCTAACCGAGGGTCCCAGTTAGACCTGCTTTGCCTATACCCCATGGGCCCCTGGCTGACGGTCAGCCTTCCTGGTAATGTATTCTCCCCCAACCAGGGGAGCATGCAGGATTTGCAGGCAGGGCCTCGGTCCAGAGCTGATTGCCTCTGGAGTCCTCTCCGACAAGGTGGCTCTGCTGGACTTTGGGGTCGGAAAAAAGAAAAAAAATTGAGAAAAAAAAGGAAGTGGCAAACTGCAAGTCTCACTCCCCACCTGAGTGGGATTTCAGTACTTCCCGAAGATGCAGAGTTCAGCTTTATTCCTACTTCTTTTTAAATAAATGGATGAAACTTTGTCATTTTAAAACTCTTTACCCAGTCAAGCCCTGAAACCGTGTTTGTGAAAATGACTTTAACGTGGTTGTAAACCACAGGTTTTCTTAGTGTCCTCATTCCTTCCATTTGGCCAGCCATGCAGAAGGAGAAAGAAGGAACAATGCCTAGAATTTGACCTGATTGAGTTCCCAGTTTCATGACAGTTGTGTATATGAAATATTCTATTGTAAGCTGGAACTTTGTGGAGAAAATATGTGCAAATAACCCTGAATTGAATATATATGTGCATTCTTTATTGTTTTACCAAGTTTCTGATTAGGAATTCAAAGTATTGTTCCTAGTATTCTCGTGATGGATTTGAGTTGGTATTGGCAAGGTACAGAGTGTTTACAAACCTATGGAAAGATCCTTATGGGAACAGGGGATCATAAAGCAGTGCTGGTTTCCAAGGGGTAAGCCATCGCTACGTTGGACCAGAAAAGGAGACCATGGGTGGGCAGGGTCCTGGTTGGATTGGTGGGGTCACGTAGCTGAAGACTGTCTGCGCTGTGGAGGCCACGTCCTCCTCCTGCCCCAGTTCCTTTTGTAAAATACAACTGACCATCCCTGCCCCTTGCTACACTGAGCTCTAGTTGAATTTTACACGTGAAAGCACTGTTGATTTCCACTCTCCAGGTGGCATCTGTGATAACTCATACACTGATGTGCTTTGTTTTAATTCTAGGCAGCTTCGGCCACCTCTCTGTCCAAGCTGGCGTGCATGCACATAGTCCGCTGGGCTGTTTGGAACCCCTTGCTGGAAGCTGATTCTGGAAGGGTGATGCTGCCTCTGCAGGGCGGGATCCAGTCCAACCCCTGGCACTGTCTGGTCTACAAGGTCCCCTCAGCCAGCATGAGCTCTGAAGAGGTAAATTGTTAGGTATTTCTTATGCTTCTCAGGTGAGCTTCTATCAAGTTCATTCATTTTCAGAAGCAAAAGTTCACAAATATGTTTGCAGATGTTTTATTTACAGAATTTTTTCATGTCATGGGTATGCCTTTAAAAAGATTAGTATGACCTTTTTATGTAAACCTGCTAAGGGCATTTTTATTGTGGGTTTTATCCCTGTTCGCATACTGACTTCCTGGGATGACTTGGCGAATCTCCAGCTGACGTGTGTACACACAGCAGCGAGATTCACTTCTGAGCCGTGTGCGTTTGGTGCATTGGAGCTTGGGCCTCGCGTGGCCTTTGCCGGTAGGTTTTTTGGTGGACGAGTGCTGAGATGGGAGCCAGTTCTGGTTTCCAGCCCTGGCTTATCTTTGTGACTTATCACCAATGCTTCCTGGACCTCAGGTATGTACAAAGGGGTAGGACCACCGCAGAGACTCGCAGGTTTTTAAAAAAATTCTGAAATGAAATGTTCTCTGCACCCCAATTTAAGAAGTAAAGAAAAGTAGAGCAGAGTGGGGTTGAAGTGTGTGTGAGGGTCCCACCCCCAGCCTACTCGGCCGAATTGGTGGCCTTGGAGGATGGTTAGTGGTGACCCAGGGCACCACAGGCACAGTGCGAAAGCCTGCTCTGCAGATGGCTGGAGTCCAGCGGGCTCTCCGAGGCGTGGCGGCGTTTCTGCGGCGGTCTGCTGTTTGGCCTTCTCTCACCTTCCTCACACACGTTCGTTTCAGGAGTGCCAGCAGGCGCTTTTTAGTACTTAGGTGTCTCATTTTTCTAAGGTAACAGGACTGTGCCTGTTATTTCAGTTTGTCAACTCTGTGCTGACTCCAGTGACAGATAATGTGTTCAGTGTTGTTATTTATGATTTGGGTAATGCTTGGGAGACCTGAATCAGAGAATGGCTGATGGTGCGGCTTTTCTTCCTGTAAGGAATGTCTCTCCTGACGGGACCATATTTTGCTGCACTCCCACATGGTCTAGTTTGAGCCCTTACTATAAAACTGCCATTAGAAATCCTGAAGCTGTTACCGTCTTCCCCTCCACGCCACTCCCGCATCCTTGCCTCTCTCCTTGTCTCTTCTCTTCTCCTTCTCCTTGTCTCCACTCCTCCCCTCTCCTCCCATTTGGATAAGTACATAAATAAATATTTATTCTGTTTAATTTAGGTCTATCATGCCATCAAATTACCCTTACTTTTTAAATGTGTAGACTATATTGGGGCATGGATGCTTGGAAGGTTTACTATCTTAAGGACACAAATGTATCAAATTTTGCCATTTTCCACAAGGAGTACCACTTCCAAATCAGGGTTTTTGACCTCAGCTCTGTTGACATTTGAGCCAGATAACTCTCTGTGTGAGGCCGTCCTGTGCGCTAGCAGATGCTGAGCAGTATTCCTGGCCTCTGTTCACTGGGTGCCAGCAGCATCTCCCTACCTGTGACAGCCCTAAATGCCTACAGACTGTGCCAGGTGTTTCCTGGGCAGTAGAATTGCCCCGACTGAGGGCCCCTGCTCTAAACTGATGTACTTAACTAAAGCAGTGAACTAACCCTGGCCGTGAACTCGATTCCCTTTCCTGCCCTGCGAAGGCACTCCTTTCTGCCTGAGTGTCCTGCATGGCGGTGCCAGCCCCTCTCAAGTCAGGTCAGTTAGAAGCCTAGGTGTGCCTATCTCTGCCACTGCACCAGCCTATTCTTTATCTCATTCAGTCATTCATCGCTCAGTGAACTTGTATTGAGCACCTGCATGTACTCTAAGAAAAAACATCCCTGGTCCCATCACAGTTGAGTAGGAGAGGCAGATGTTAAAGAAAAATATAAATACAACTAAAAGCCCATAGTTTTTGGGTAGCTAGATTTTAGAGTTTATGATGTTATGATTATTTCACTGTAATTTACTATGAAATGATGAAATCATGTATCATAATTGTGTTTCCTTTCTTAACTCACGCCCTTTTCCCTTGAGGACATAATTGTCCCCCCCCCACTTTTTTTTTTTTTTTAAGAAATTGGTATCTCCGAAGACAGCCACTATCAACTCTTAACTGTGGCTTATGGTCTTTACCGTTGTTTTCTAAATAATAGCCTTTTACTCCTGTTTCTTAATTTACAATTTCAGACATTATATACTGAATTCTCGTAATGACAGATGAGAATTTTAGCTCTTTTGTACATTTTCTGCCCATCTTTAAAGCACTCTATCTTCTTACTGCTTGGCGTTGGATTCAGGCACAGTTGCAGGGGGCATACAACACAGTAGAGCTGGTTGGAGAGTGAAGCGGGGGTTCTACTTGCAAAAACTACAGAGATCACTGAGGAAGGAGCTAGGGAAGTAGTCCTGTAAGGTTGTTTACAAAACCCTGGGTTCACCCCAAAACTGCACGTGTATGGGTCTGACCCTAAACAGATACCAAAGACTTTGACACTGTGGGATTGACAACTTCCCAGTTTCAGAGCTGCCTGCTGGGTGGAGGACATGCAGGAGAAATCTGAAGAACCCTGCACACGTTTTGAAAATGAAACTGACATTGAAACCACAGCCCACAGGATGTTGATCAGAAACTGTCCTGAAAGCTATTGAGTCAATTCCTACCTAAATAAAAATACCAGCATTCTTCATAGGATTTAAATGAGACTCAGAGTTTTATAATGTAATGTTCAAAGTGTCTATGATATGCTCTAAAGTTAATTGTCATACAAAGAACTTGGTAAGTTCAGCTTTTAGAGAGACAGTTAACAGACACCAACACTGAGATGATGCAAATGTTAGAATTATCAGAGAATTTAAAGCAGTCATAATAAAGATGCTCTAGTAAATAAGAACAAACACTCTGGAAATAAATGGGAAGAAGCAAATGAAAATTTTAGAACTGAAAAATAAAATAACCAAAATAAAAAAATCACTAGATGGCCTAACAGCAGACTGGAGATGACAGAAGAGTCAGTGAACTTGAAGAGAAACCAACAGAAATTTATTCACCCTGCGCAACAGAGAGGAAAATGATTGGAAGACAAGGGGCAAAGCCTCAGTGTTGACCTGTAGGTCCCTACCAAAAAGACTAGCACCCAGTCCTGGTAGAGGAGACTATGGTGCAGAAAAAAGTAATTAAAAAATAATGACTGAATACTTGCCAGTTTGGCAAAAGACGTAAACCTGCAGATCCAAGGTCAGTGAACCCCAGGGATAAATGTGAGGAAATCCACACTCAGATAAATCGTACACAAACTGCTGAAAACTAAAGACAAAGAGTAAAATTGTTAAAAACAGCTATAGAAAAATGATGCATTACTTACAGAGAAATAATAATTTGAATGACTGGATTCCTCATCAGAAACCAGCTGACCAGAGGAAAGTGGGAGATTTTTAAAGTACTAACAGAAAGACCTTGGAACTCAGAATTCTGTATCCAGTGTAAAAAAAAGCAAAAAGGGTGAAATGAGGACATCTCAGATGAACTAAAAGTAAGAGCAGCTAATTTGCTTAAAGAATTGCTAAAAGAATTTCTTCAGACAGAGAGGAAGTGATACCAGATAGAAATTTGGAACATCAAGAATGAAGAAAGAAAAACAGAAATGGTAAATATAATATCCTCTTCTTCTTTGTAAAAATACATTGGATGGTTGAAGGAAAACTGTGACAGCGTGGCTGGGTGCAGTGGGCTTGTAATCCCAGCACTTTGGGAAGCTGAGGAGGGTGGATCACCTGAGGTCAAGAGTTCAAGACCAGCCTGGCCAACATGGTGAAATCCCATCTCTATTAAAATACTAAAATTAGCTGGCTGTGGTGGCTGTATGCCTGTAATCCTAGCTACTTGGGAGGCTGAGGCAGGAGAATCACTTGAACCCAGGAGGCGGAGGTTGCATTGAGCTGGGATTGTGCCACTGCACTCCAGCCTGGGCAGCAGAGCAAGACTCTCTCAAAAATAAAACAAAAAACAGAATCTGGTGAGATTTTAAAGATATAAAGGCATAATATTTAGAAAATTACCTAAACTTAGTTGATAAAACAATGGCAAGGTTTGAGAAGATTGACTATGATTTTGAAAGTTCTGCCTATGGTAAAATGCTTTCAAACAGCATCGCATGATACAGGAAACTCCTTTGTGACAGGAAGAGTTACTTGATAGAGCAAACTTGCATTGTTGTCTTGTTTTATGAAAGTGCTACAGCCACCCCAATCTTCCAGCAACCGCTACTCTGATGAGGCAGCAGCCATCAATATCAATGTACAACCCTCCACCAGCAAAAACATTACAATGTCCTAGAAGGCTCAGGCTCAGATGATCCTTAGCTCTTTTTTTTTTTTTTTTTTTTTCAGACAGGGTCTCATCTGTTGCTCTAGGGTGGAGTACAGTGGCACGATCATAGCTCACTAGAGCCTCGAACTCCTGGGCTCACGCCATCCTCACACCTCAGCATCCTGAGTAGCTAGGACTACAGGCATGTGTCATTATGCCTGGCTAATTTTTTAATTCTTGTAGAGTTGAGGTCTTTGCTATGTTGCCCAGGATGATCTTGAGCTCCTGGGTTCAAGGGATCCTCCCCACTTGGCGGCTTCCTAGAGGGTTGGGATTATAGGCGTGAGTTGAGTCACCATACCTATAATGGCACAGTTATTGCTGGCCAGGCGCATAAATGTATAAAAAATACTAACAATGGTTAGTATTTTTTAGCAAGAAAGTTTTTTTTTTTTTTTTAAATGAAGTTCTCTATAACCCAGGCTGGAGTGCAGTGGTGCAATCTTGGCTGACTGCAACTCCATCTCCCAGGTTCAAGTGATTCTTCTGCCTCAGCCTCCCAAGTAGGTGTGATTACAAGTGCTCGCCACCACACCCAGCTAATTTTTGTACTTTTAGTAGAGAATGGGGTTTTACCATGTTGGCTGGGTTGGTCTTGAACTCCTGACCTCAAATGATCCACCTGCCTCTTAAAGTGCTGGGATTACAGATGTGAGTCATTGAGCCTGGCCAGCAATAAAGTATTTTTAAATTAAGGTAAGTACAGTCCCCCCTTTTTTTTTTTCTTAAGACGTAATGCTATTACACACTTATTGACTACACTGTAGTATAAATGTAACTGTTAAATGTACTGGGAAACAAAAATTCCAGTGTCTTGCTTCATTGCAGTGGTTTGGAATTGAACCTGCAGTATCTTTGAGGTATGCTTGTAATTACATTAGGGGTAAATAGTGTAAACATCTCCAATTTAAAAGATATTGTCAGGCTTAATGAAAAACAAAGTCCAACTGTATACTGTCTGTAAGAAATATACTTTAAATATAATGTAAATTAAAAGAATGGAAAATATTCTGTTCAAACATTAATTAAAAGAACTGGAGTAGCTATTTTATTATCAGACACCATCAGACCAACTAGATTTCAGAATAAAGGAAATTTCCAGGAATTAAGAGAGATAATACACATGATAAAAGGGTCAGTCACCAAGACATAACAATCCTAAAATTGTTTGCATCTAACAGAGCTTCAAAAGACATGAAGCAAAAACCGGTTGAACTGAAAGGAGAAATGGACAAATCCACAATTATACTTGGAGACTTCAACATCCTCTCTAAGTATATAAAGAGCAACTGACTAGATAATCACCAGTGGTATAGAAGGACTGAACATCATCATCAACTGACTGGATCGGAATGATATTTGTAGAACACTCTACCCAAAAACAGCAGAATACATGTTTTTTACAAGTGCACATGGAACATTAATCAAGATAGACAATATCCTTGGCCATAAAACAGACTTCAATTTTAAGAGAATTGAGATTATACAAGATGTATTCTCAGATTATAATGGAATTGAACTAGAAATCAATAACAAAGATAATGAACATTTTCAACCACTTGGAAATTAAACAATATGTAAACAATCTACAAATTAAAGAGTAAGCCTCAAGGGAAAATAGAAGATATTTTGAACTTAACCAACATGGAAATACAACATATCAAAATTTGTAGGTTGCAACTCAAATATGCTTAGTGTTAGATGCTTATATTAGAACAGAAAAAAAGATCTTAATTCTAATCTTTACCTTTAGAAACTAGAAAGAGTAAAATAAACCCAGAGCAATTCAGAAGTCAATAATAGCAGACACCAGTGGAACTGCAAACAAAAATAATAGATTAAAAATTAAAAAATAGCAAAAACCAAATGAGACAAAAACCTGTTTGAAAATATCAGTAAATTGATGAACTTCTAGCAAGACTGAAAAAGAAAGGAGGATGGGAATGACTTAATACTAGGAATTAAAGAAGGAATATCAGTCCAGACCTCACAGGTATTAAAAGGATAATGAGGAACTACTACAAACAATTCTCTGCACATAAATTTGACAATTTAGGTGAAATGGATGAATGAATATTAAACCACATCCTGCCAAAACTCAGCCAAGATGAAGTAGATAAACCGAGTAGTCCTATAACTTTATATAAATGGAATTAATAGTTTAAAAACTTTTGAAAAAGATATATTCAGGCCTGTTAACTATGAATTCTACTAAACATTTAAAGCAGAAATTATACCACTTTTATGCAGTCTATTTCAGAAAACAGAGAAGATGGGAGCAATTCCCAATTCATGAAATGAAGCCAGCATTACCCTGATACCAAAACCAGAAAAAGATATTAATAGTAACAAGAAAACAGAAATGTGGACCCATATCCCTCATAAACATAGGTGCAAACTACTTGACAAAATATTGGCAAATTGAGTCCAGTGATTTGCAAAAAGAATAATATACTATATCCAAGTGGAGCTTTATCCCAAGATTGCAAATTTGTTTTCTATTTGGAAATCAATAAATGTAATTCACTATAGTAACAGCCTAAAGAAGGAAACCATGTGATCCTGGCAATTGATGTTGAAAAACATTTGACAATATTCAGCATCAGTTTATGATAAAAACTCTGAGCAAACTAGCAATAAAAGAAAATTTCGTCAGCATGATCAGTGGTATCTACAAAAACTCTTTAGTTAACATCATACTTAATGGTGAAGATTGATTGCATTCCCCTGAGATTAGGAGCAAGCGAAGGATGTCCACTGTTCGCATTCAGCCACGTGGTCAGCAGTGCATCGGAAGGTATAGTCAGTGCTGTAAGTCAAGAAAACAAAAGACATACACACTGGAAGGAAGAAACAAAACTGTCCTTTTTTGCAGAAAACATGATTGTGTATGTCAAAGATTCTGAGGAATCTACAAAAAATGAGTAAGTGAGTTTAGTGAGACTGCAAGATTACACAGGAAGTCAACATGAAAAATCAGTCCTATTTCTCTGTACTAGCACTGATAAATTGAAAGCAAAATACAGAAACAGTATTACTTATAAAGCCCAGCCTTCCATGAAATAAATCTGACAAAATACGCTGCCAGCTATAAAACTGTCCTTTTGCTAGCTGTCATTGTGATTATTCTTAGGTGAAATCAAGGAAGACCTAACTAATTGGAGAGACATAACATGTGTATGTCTTGGAAAACTCAACATAGTGAAGCTGTCAGTTCTGCCCAAGATTGATCTATAGATTTTATGCAGTTTCAATCAAAATCCCAGCGGGAATATAGATAGGCTGATTCTGAAATTTACGTGGAAAGGTAAAGGAATTAGAAGAGTCGAAGTAGTTTTGAAAAAGAAGAGTAAAGTTGGAGGAGTCATACACAGTTTAAACACTTACTGTACCGCCACACTAATATAATTAGTATCAAGGGATTGGCACGTAGATTAATGAAACAGAAAGAGAGTCCAGAAATAAAGTTTGGAAGTGCCTTATTAAATTAAATATACCATATGACCCAGCAGTCCTACTCTTGGAGAAATGAAACCTGTGTTCACACAAAAATCTGGACACATGTGTTTGTAGCAGCTCCTCTTATAATCACCCAAACCAGAAACAGCTCAAATGTTCATGAGTGACTGAATGGATAAATAACCGTGATACAGCTGTACAATAGAATACCACTAAGTAATTAAAAAAAGAAAGTTTGATGTATATGCTACAACTGGGATGAATCTCATCAGTTGGGATGAGGTTCAAATGACGGTGCTGGGAAGCAGTCATAGATCACCACGGTTAGGCAGGGGTGAGGCGTGGCTGCAAGGGAGCACTCTTGGGGGGATGGGGCTGGCCTGCACCCTGAGTGTGGTGCTGGTTATGTGAGTCTGTGCACGTGCCAAAACCCATAGAGCCATAACTCAGAATAAAGATGTCAGTCTCACATAGGTTAATGAAAACATTCCCAACTCAGGAGAGATTGTGATTTCCACTTGGGTAAGGGTCATTCCATGATAATATGGCCTGCAGGGCTTTTAGTGCCACAGCCAGTTGCTTTTTGCTCAGAAACTACTTGATTATAATCTAAGAACACGTGGCTTCTTCAGTGGCCTCTGATTTCACGTAAGCTTTGTTTTAGGACCAAGCGTGCTGTTCCTGGTTGGATTGTTGTGACCGGAGTACCGATGAAGGGCGTGGCCATCACTGCTCTTGTGCTCCGTTGCAGGTGAAGCAGGTGGAGTCGGGTACAGTCCAGTTCCAGTTCTCGCTGGGCTCAGAAGAACACCTGGATGCACCCGCGGAGCCTGTCAGCGGCCCCAAGGTGGCGCGGCGACTTGCCGGGAAACCACCCACGTCCCCTTCCAGTAAGTGTTTCCAGAGAGTTGATTGCCCAGGCACACGCAGGCAGCACTTCCATCTGTTACCAGGGAAAGATACTTAGTTCAGTATGGTAATCGTCACATTTGTAAGATCATTGCCACAGATTGCTTTAATCGAATCTGTTTTTTGGGCTTTTGCTTAATACAGAGGTGTAGAATTGGACAGTGATGAATTGTGGCCCAGAAGCTTGTCACCTGTGCTTCAGCCTGGTGTCAGCTTAGTTACTTGACAGCTCCCCAGCTGAGCACTTAAAAGGACATGTCACGTGTGTGCACTGCAAATGTGGGACCTGAGAATTAGAGGGTGGTCGAGAGCCAAGGACGACCACTTTGAGTTTGCGCCGTTCAAGTAGCCATCTGTCTGTTCACCTTGAAGCACTGCCCGAAAGTTAGGAGGAGTCTGTGATCTGAGTCGGTGGCTTTAAGAAAGGGAGTCACAATTGGCTGCAAGCAGCAAGGGCTGCCAGCAGAGGCAGAGCCCCGGCCCTGTGGGTGGCAGCAAGTCCACATGGGTAGGTGGGTAAAGAGTTCTTCCTGGCTCTCAGCCCAGCTGCTTCTGCTGAGGCAGTACGCTGTGCTCAGAGCCCTTGGACTACAGCATGTTCTGGTTGAGAATTCCACCTATAGTGAAGTGAGGGGCAGAAGGAATCAGGGAGGGTTGGAGTCGTCCACCTAAATGGGTGTGGGGCCTTGGCTCTAGGCATCTGGAGCTCTGGCTTAGAGTTAAAGTTCTAGGATCCCTAGTCACAGGTGATGACTCTGCTTGTTCCAGATGGCAAGATAGGGAGTGAACAAGTGTACAAGCCCGTGGAGGGAGCTTTGTGTTCCTCCGGCCTGTAGCTGGTGATGCCCAGGTGTTCAGGGAGGAATTGCTTCTGTGCCCGGCGGTGGCCCCGACTCCTGGTGCAAAGCTGCTGGTGCTTCTGTCACTTGGGAGAGGTTTTCCCTTTGCATTGAGATTCTGATTTATGGGAACTGGGCTTGTTGAATGTGATTTTACAATTGCTCGAAGCAGCATGTGCATTTCTAAGTTGATGAATTTGATGAAGTTGATGATTTTCTGAGATATCTGATACCGTGCAAATGCTATGTAAATTGCTGTACAGTTTAGGGAATAACAAGAAAAAAAGAGTCTGTATGTGTTTAGTGCAGCCACAACCATCCATTTAAAAAATATTTTCAGCCCAAGTCTTGTTGAATTCATAGAGACAGAACCCAAGGGTCTACTCTGTACTCTGATTTTTGAGGAAGTTACTTAGAAGTACAATAGTAATACAGAGTCAACACGGTCTGTCAGGATTTCCTGAGCGGTCTAAGAATATTCTAATATCAAAACTTAATAGTTGATTTCTTTGGGACAAACTAAGTCATTCAGTATTTTCCTTCCTTTCACAGAGGTGGTGCATTTGATGGTACTAATTGTTTTGTGTTTTCAGTGTTTGAATTTCGTGCCTACCAGCTTGTTCTCAGGATTCCTGTTTACCACCAGTGTGTACATTAATAATCCCATCTTATACAAACGGCACTGAAAGGTACAGCACCCCGAGTACTAGAATTTCTTGTGGTGGTGGGTGGTAGGCATGTGTGCATTTTCTGTCAGTCGGATTAGAATGAATTTCCAATTTTATTTGATGAAACTGAATGCATTCAAGGCATAGGACACATAGTTTTGAAATAGTAAGCAAAGGGTCATAATAAAGGGTCATTTAAAGCAACCCATTGCCTGCTTACGTCTCGTATCTTTCCTTGTTTGACGTACACTCTTTGACATAGAGTTAATCTTAAAAATAAAATACATATCAACCTCTAAGAAACAAAATTACGAAGAAAAGAGGACCTCAGATTGTAAATTGGGTATATTTTGTGATTAAATATAAACATGATTAGAGCTATCTCTCGGTATCCCTGGGGGACTGGCTTCAGATGCTCAAGTCCGTTATATAAACTGGTGTGGTATTTGCATGTAACCTACGCACATCCTCCCATGTGCTTTAAATCATCTTCAGATGACTTACAATACCTAATACAGTGCAAATGCTATGTAAATTGTTGTTGTACTGTTTAGGGAATAATGACAAGGAAAAAGAGTCTGTACATGTTCAGTGCAGATACAACCATCCATTTTTTAAAAAGTATTTTCAGTCCAAAGTTGGTTGAATTCTTGTCTGCAGAACCCATGGATCTGCTCTGTACTCTGATTTTCGATTAAGTTGCTTAAAAGTATCATAGTAATACATAGTCTACATAATTTGCCCATGGCTGTAGAAATGGCTGAACAGAGAATGAACCTATATAGCTAGCTAGCTTTCAGGGAAAAAAATATGACTACCTTCTCTGGAAAGAAATTTTCTTGTGTTTAAATTGCGATATAGGCCAGGCATGGTGGCTCATGCCTGTAATCCTAGCACTTTAGAAGGCTAAGCCGAGAGGATCACTTGAGCTCAGGAGTTTAAGAGCAGCCTGGGCAGCATAGCAAGACCCCATCTCTACTAAAAATAAAACAAATGAACTCTGCACGGTGGTGTGCACCTTTAGGTCCCGCTACTTGGGAGGCTGAGGCGAGAGGATTGCTTGAGCCCGGGAGTTTGAGGCTGCAGTGAGCCATGATTGTGCCGCTGCACCCCACCCTGGGCAAAAGAGCGAGACTTTGCCTCAAAAATAAATAAGTAAGTAAAGAGGTAGTTACCGCACTGGAAATGGGCAGCTAGTTTTGTTTGAAGACCTTCTAATCAAGTGAGTTGTAAACTCTGACGGGCTGATCCTGGCATCTGGCTTTTGGGCTGTCTCAATCGTGGACGCTGTGTGGGCTTTACTTTACTGGTTGCCCTGTTTTCATGAGGTGTTTGGAGGAGATTTTAAAACCAGTCTGCCACTGCCTCTGCTTCCCCAGAAGGGTTCTTTAACTGATTTTTTTGCCTGGGGTTCCTTGAGCTTGTTAGAGCTCTAGATTTATAGTTTTCATCACATTTGGAAACATTTTGGTCATTATTTCTTCACATACTTCTTCTATCTTCCTCTCATCCTCTGATTCAGAGGCCCCAATTACATGTTTATCAGGCTGCGAGAAGTTGTCTCACAGCTCACTGATATTCTGTTCACTTTTATTTATAACCTTTTTTCGCTGTGTGTTTCATTTTAGATAGTTCCTATTGCTGTATCCTCAAGTTCACTTCAAGTTCTTTACTTGTTAAGTGTCTGATCTGCCATTTATTTCATTCAGTATATTTTCATCTCAGGTATTCTCATTTTCATCTAGGGCAGTTCTGTTTGGGCTTGTTTCATATCTTATGTGTCTTGACTTAACATGCTCAGTGTTTCTTCTACTAAAAATAAAGCAAAAAGCTTATTTCCTAAGCTTTTTGAACTTAGGATATACAGTTATAGCTACTTTAATATCCTGGTTTGCTAGTTCTAATATCTTTGTTGATCCAGGATCAGTTTTGATTGATAGATTATTGTCCTGATTGGGGTTGTATTTTCCTGTCTCTTTGGATGTCTGATAACTTTTGATGGACTCCAGATAGTGAGAATTTTCTCTTATTGGATACTGAATATTTTTGTATCTGATAAATAGTCTTAAGTTTTGAAAATTGTTAGATCCTTTTGGGTCTTGCTCTTAAGATTAGTTAGGTGGGATCAGATCAGCATTTCTTCTAGGGCTGATTATTCCCCACTGAGATGACATGTGCCCTCTGAGGGCTCTGCCTGGCGTCCCATGAAGAATGAGGATTACCCGGTGGCTGGAGGGAATGGCACTGTGACTGCCTGCCCTGTGAACCCCAGGCCCTGTTCCCTGGAATCCTTTCTGGTGGTTCTTTCTCTTTCCGCCTTAGAGGTATCCTGATCTGCACTCTACCGAATGCGAGGGTGGGGCCCTCTGTAAACGGCTGGTGTGCTCTCTCTCTGCTGCTCATCCTGTCTGTGCAAGCTCACTGAACACAGGAAGCTGGAGGCAGGGAGGCCGCCCCTCTTCTGTTTCCATCCCTCAGGATCACTCTCCTTTGTTGCCTGAAGTCCGCTGTGTTGAAAACCACTGTTCTACATATTTTGTGTTGAAAAGAAAATGTGTTTTAGACAGGAGGGTCAATCTGATCACTGTCACTCTTCTTGGCCAGAGGTAGAAGTCCTGGACTGCTGTTAATGGTTTCTCGGCTGCTGAAATCATCCCCCCTCAGGACTGATCATCTGGTGGTTTGGAAGCGTTTTCTAACTGCGTGTGCTACCTGGGATTCACTCGCCACGCTGTGTGTTTTCCAGACTTTTGAGTCTTGGCTCATGCTCTCTGCCTGGTGTGTATTTCTCCCATGTGCTGCATTTATTTCCTTTTACAATGTATTCCAGGGTTTCTGTTTTGTTTTGTTTTGCTTTGTCTTTAGAGATAAATTTTCATTTCGTTGCTCTGGCTGGAGTGCATGACATGATCATAGCTCACTGTAGCCTGGAACTCCTGAGCTCAAGCCATCCACCTGCCTCAGCTTCCTGAGTAGCTGGGACTACAGGCAGCGCCACCATTCCCTGCTAAGTGTTTTTTTTTTTTTTTTGTAGAAATGAGGTCTTGCTATGTTGTAGGCTGGTCTTGAACTCCTGGCCTCAGGAAGTCCTCCTGCCTTGGCCTCCCAAAATGCTGGGGTTGCTTATTTTTTAATTAAAAAATACATAGTCAAGAAGAGCCAAGGCAGTTTTGAAGCAGGAGGGAGGCTTCACCTTTCTTAGTTTTCAGACTTACCATAATGTTCTAATTTCTAGAACAAGTATAGCATTGATGCTGACAGAGATAAACAGATAACGGGACAAAATATAAAGTATAGTATGTGACAACTTGCAGAGAAGGAATATATTAGTTTCTGATTGCTGCCACAACAAATTACCCCAAACTTAGTGACATTAAACACAAGGAGCTTATTATCCTAAAATTCTGGAGGTCAGAAGTCCCAAGTGGGTCCCACAGGCTTCAGTCGAGGGCTCAGTGGGGCTGTGCTCCTTCT